GGCAGGGTGGTCAAACTATCCAATCACAGCATCAGAACTCTAAGCACTTGAGAGAGAGTGGGCACCTCCCAGAACATTGTTTTGTGCCACGCCCAACAGAAATATTCCAGGTGAACACCTTCAGCAATCAGGAGCTCCTCAGTTGCTCATAGCAAATCCCACCTTGGAGTTTACGAAGACTTATGGGTAGAAAAGCCTCACAAAGTAATTTAGTACACTGCAGCAACTATGTACTTAATAGATCTTTTTATTAATCTTATTTACTATTTCTGGTTATTTTCATTTGTTCCTGTGGATTGAAATTACCACCTGGTGTCACACCCTTACTCCAATGCAGCTTTCCTCCCACTTGCCTCCTTTATTGTTACTGTCAAATAGATTACATTTCTGGATAGTATAAGCCAAATAGTATAATTATAAACATACTGTTTTATACCGTTGTTTTTAAATTAGTTAAGAAAGGAGAGGAAATATGCCTTTAAACTATCTTTTATAGCTATATAATTATAGGCAGTGCCTGGGTTACGGATGAGATCTGTTTCTAACTGTCTTCAGAAATGTGTAGGAAAGTCAGAACAAGTGCACACAGTTCTTATTTAGCCTTACTGGGAGCTCTGGGAACATAGTGCCTAAGGCACTTGACTGCTAACCAGAAAGCTGCTGGTTCAAACCCACCAGCCACTCCTCGGAAGGAAGGTTGGGCAATCTACTTCCGTGGTGATACTGCCTGGGAAACCCAAGGGAGGGGTCGCTGTGAGTTGGATCTGACTTGACAGCAGTGAGTTTTAATGCAAGGAAAGACTCAAAGCCTTTTGGTGATTTTTAAAGCTGTATGTGCAGCAAATGAAGGTGATTGTGATGAATTTGTTCCCAGTAAGGCTTGGTTCACTGGTTTCAAAGGGAGGGCAAATTGACATAACATTAAAGGACAAGTACAAGTTGTCTGTAGTTTATAACCCAAGGACTGCCGTACCTTTCCTGGTACTGGTTTTGTCTTTTTGTGTGAATTGAAATCACTGTATGCTGTCACTTGCTTTCAGCCTGAAGAGCATCCTTTAGTGTTTCTTGTAAGGTAATTCAGCTAGTAACAAATTCAACTTCTGTTTATCTGATAATGTTTTATATTTTGCCTTCCTTTTTGAAAGATAGGTGCTGGACAGAGAATTCTTGGTTTATAGACTTGTTTGTTTTTTTTTTTTTTTCCTGTCAGCACTCTTGGAATATCATCTTGTTGCCTTCTGGCCTCTATTGTTTCTGATAAAAAGTCAGCTTTTAATATTACTAGTTTTTCCTTTTATATGATGAGCAATTTTTCTCTTGATACTTTCACAATTTTCTTTGTGTCTTTCAACATTTTGATTATGTGTCTGCTTGTGGATCTCTACATTTGTCCTATTTGGAATTTGTTGATCTTCTTGGATATGTGGATTAATGGTTTTCATCAGATATGTGAAGTTTTCAACCATTATTTCTTAATTTTTTTCTGCTCCTTTCTCTCCTCCCATCCTAGTACTCCCACTATGCCTATGTTGGTGCACTTAATGATGTCTCACGTTTGTCTGAGACTCTGTTCATTTTTCTTCCTTCTTTTTTCTCTCTGTTCTACAGATTGTATAATCCCATATCAATCTTCCTTCAAGTTCACTGATTCTTTTATTCTGTCTGTTCTCATGTAGTCTTGAAGATGCCTAGTGAATTTTTTTCCATTATTATATTTTCTAACTCCAGAATGTCCATTTGGGTCCTTTTTATAATGTCTTTCTCTTTATCGTTATTTTTTATTTGTTGTGACATTGTCATCATGCCTTCCTTTATGTCTTTAAGCGTGGTTTCCTTTGGTTCTGTGAACATATTTATAATGACTGCTTTGAAGTCTTTGCTAATTCCAACAGTTGGGCCTTCTCAAAGTCAGTTTTTATTGCTAGCTGTCCCCCCCTCCCCGTGTATAGGTCATACTTTCCTGTTTACTTTTATGTCTCATTTTTTTTTTTTGGTTGAAAACTAGACATTTTAGATAATGCAGTAACTCTAGATATTCCCACCTGCCTCCAGGGCCTGTTATTGTTTGCTTATTTATTTGTTCAGTGTCTGGGTTGGACTTTTTCAGGGAAGTCTGTTTTCTTTGTAGTCTGCAGCATCTGATGTCACTCCTTGGAGGGAGCAGCATTGGGCATGCTCACAGTCGCCCTGGAATGACAAGGTTCTCTTCGAGTGTTTCTTTCCCTGCTCTCTCTCTGAAGCTTCTAGCTGGTGTGTTAGCATCTCACTCAGCTGTTGACCTCTAATTGTATGTTGATCCTCTAATATTTTTGATAAGGCCTTGAGATATAAATTACTCTACAGTCTGATCCAATTACATTTTGGCTGTTGCAGGGGCAGTCTCAGATTTGTTTCAACCTCAGGAGGGCTCTTCTTAGCTGTCTCTTTTCCTGGTTCTCTCTGTTAAACTTTAGCTGGTATTTGGTTTTGTTACTGTCATAGAGCTACCAGCTTCCTTTTAATTGCTTCCCTCCAAAATCTCCATTGTTTTTGTCAGCATCCTTAGGCTTGAACTTCCCCAAACTCTGGGCCAAATAAAGTCTGTCCACTTAGGGAGACCTCTGTGTTGTTAAGGCTTGTCTTTCTTCCCTCTACAAAATATGTGAGCCACTGCTCTGGAATTGAAATGGGGACAGTGTCCCACTTAGAGTGACACTTTTGCTCTACCAGTGGAGCACTGGGTGGAGATGGAAACTCTGCCCTATGATGGAGTTAGGACAGGGACAATTAGAGCTCAATATTCTGAGCCTTTCACACCTGGGGTAGAGCTTCCGCACTGTGAGTGGTGGCTGAGTATGGAAAGGGAGCTCCCACCATCGAGGCTGCAGTAGACCTTCTCTAACATTGAGCTGCTGAGGGGTAAGATGAGAAGTGCTGGTGACCTGCCCCTGTTGAGAAGAAACCATACCCCTTGACTGGGAGCTGGGGGAGAGGGAGCCCCATGTACTTGGTGGAACTCACCAGGCACGGAGCTTCCTTCTTACTGAGTTGGGGGTGGGAAGAAGGGAGGAGATCATGGTTCAAATGCCACAGACTTGTTCTTATCGAGAATTGGTTTCCTTATTTCAATTTTTTCTCCTTTTTGCTCTGTGCCCTTGTTGTCGTGTTGTTATGTGCCGTGGAGCTGGACCTGACTCATAGCGACCCCTCCCTGGGTTTCCGAGGCCATATCACTGCGGAAGGAGATTGCCCAGCCTTCCTTCTGAGGAGTGGCTGGGGGGTTTGAACCGCCAGCCTTCTGGTTAGCAGTCAGGTGCTTAGGCACTATGCTAGGGGACATTAAATGGCCAGAGACATTAAATGGCTTTTGTTGTTTTAGAATTTCCGCCAGTTAATGGGTGTTTTGTTGGGAGAGGGTTTGCAGAGCTCTTCATGCTGCCATTCTGGAAGTGACCATTTCTCACTTATCTTGGGGTTCATTTTTTTTTTTTTAAATAAACTCAGATCATACCTGTAATTCAGGGGTTTGCAGACTAAAGCTCTTAGGCCAAGTCTGATCTGCTGCCTGTTTTTCTGCATAAAGTTCGATTGGAAAACAGCCATGCCTATTTGTTTACATATTTTCTGTGTTTGGCAAAGGAGTAGTTGCAACAGAGATCTTATGGCCCACCAAAGCCTAAAATATTTAGTATCTAGCCCTTTACAGCAATTTTTTTAATCAAAAAAAATTTTTTGAAACTTTTAAACAAAAAAATTGCCAATCACTACTTTAATTGGTAAACTTTACTAAATAAATACCTTAATGACTTAAAAGTATGAGTGCTTCTGTAATAAGCATGGGTTGTCAAGAATATCAACTGTAATTAAAATTAGATTTGGCTTGAAACAAAGACAAAAATAAATGCCAGATCTGTAATGTAAAGAAAGAATGCTCTTTACTGTTTTTCTATTATTTTCAGATCTGGTAGCTCAACGCGGAGAAAGATTGGAATTATTGATAGACAAAACAGAAAATCTCGTGGATTCAGTAAGTATGATTTTTTCTAGATTTGAAATAGAGAAAGTACAGTTAAGAGCTAACAGAATAGAGATATGCCTTTGCATGTAAT